TATCCTGCTACCTTGCTATAGCTATTGATGATGTCTAGAAGCTTCTGAGTAGAGTTTTTTGGGTCTTTAAGGTATAGGATCATGTCGTCTGCAAATAGGGATATTTTGACAGTTTCTTTACCTATTTGTATTCCTTTTATTCCTTCTTCTTGCCTAATTGCTCTGGCTAGGAATTCCAGTACTATGTTGAATAGGAGTGGAGATAGTGGGCATCCTTGTCTGGTTCCTGATTTTAGAGGGAATGGTTTAATTTTTCTCCGTTAAGTATAATGCTGGCTGTAGGTTTGTCATATATAGCTTTTATAATGTTGAGGAACTTTCCTTCTATTCCTAGTTTTCTTAGAGCTTTTAGTTTTCTTTGAGCTTTTATTAAATGGAAAAATGATGTTGGATCTTATTCAAAGGCTTTTTCTGCATCTTTGAGATGATCAAGTGGTTTTTGTCTTTGCTTCTGTTAATGTGGTTTATTAAGTTTATTGATTTTCGTATGTTGAACCACCCCTGCATCCCTGGGATGAAGCCTACTTGGTCGTGGTGAATGATCTTTTTGATGTGTTACTGAATTGGGTTTGCCATTATTTTGTTGAGGATTTTTGCATCAATGTTCATTAAGGAGATTGGCCTATAGTTCTCCTTTTTTGGAGGTGTCTTTGCCTGGTTTTGGGATAAGTGTAATACTGGCTTCATAAAAGGTGTTTGGCAGTTTTCCTTCCCTTTCTAATTGTGGAACAGTTTAAGGAGGGTTGGTATCAGTTCTGCTTTAAAGGTCTGATAGAATTCAGCTGAGAATCCGTCAGGTCCTGGACTTTTCTTTTTGGGGAGACTATTGATTGCTGCTTCAATTTCGTTTTGTGTGTATATGTCTATTCAGGTGATTAATTTCCTCTTTGTTCAGTTTTGGATGATCATATGTATGTAGAAATCTGTCCATTTCTTTTAGATTTTCAAATTTATTTGAATGTAGGTTCTCAAAGTAGTCTCTGATGATTTCCTGGACTTCCATGGTGTTTGTTGTTATCTCCCCTTTTGCATTCCTAATTCTACTAATTTGGGTTTTTTCTCTCCTCATTTTAGTCAGGTTTGCCAGGGGTCTATAGATCTTGTTTATTTTTTCAAAGAACCAACTTTTTGTTTCATTAATTCTTTGTATGGTTTTTTTGGTTTCTATTTCATTGATTTCAGCCCTTATTTTTATTATTTCTCTCCTTCTATTTGTTTTGGGATTTGCTTGTTCTTGTTTTTCTAGGAGTTTGAGCTGTATCATTAGATCATTGATTTGGGATCTTTCAATCTTTGTAATATATGCACTCATGGCTATAAACTTTCCTCTCAAGACTGCCTTAGCTGTGTCCCATAGGTTCCGGTAGGTTGTGTTTTCATTTTCATTGACTTCCAGGAACTTTTTAATTTCCTCTTTTATTGCATCGATGATCCACTCTTCATTAAGTAATGAGTTATTTAGTTTCCAGCTGTTTGCATGTTTTTTGTCTTTACTTTTGTTGTTGAGTTCTACTTTTACTGCATTGTGGTCAGATAGTACGCACGGTATTATTTCTATTTTCTTATATTTGCTGAGGCTTGCTTTGTGCCCTAGGATATGTTCTATTTTGGAGAAGGTTCCATGGGCTGCTGAGAAGAATGTATATTGTGTAGAGGTTGGATGAAATGTTCTGTAGACATCTACTAGGTCCACTTGATCTATTGCATATTTTAGATCTTGGATTTCTTCATTGATTTTTTGTTTGGATGACCTATCTATTGATGATAATGGAGTGTTAAAGTCTCCCACAACCACTGTGTTGGCGTTTATATATGCTTTTAGGTCTTTCAGGGTATGTTTGATGAAATTGGGTGCGTTGACATTGGGTGCCTACAGATTGATGATTATTATTTCCTTTTGGTCTATTTCCCCTTTTATTAGTATGGAATGTCCTTCTTTATCTTGTTTGATCAATGTAGGTTTGAAGTCTACTTTGTCAGAGGTAAGTATTGCTACTCCTGCTTGTTTTCAGGGGCCATTGGCTTGGTAAATCTTCTTCCAGCCTTTCATCCTAAGCCTATGCTTATTTCTGTCGGTGAGATGAGTCTCCTGTAAGCAACAAATTGTTGGATCTTCTTTTTTAATCCATTTTGTCAAACGGTGTCTTTTGATGGGTGAATTAAGTCCATTAACATTAAGTGTTAGTACTGATAGGTATGTGGTGATTCCTGTCATTTACTTGTAGTTATTTGAAGGTTTGATTGTGTGTACCTAAGTTGAGGTTACTCTCTACTGTCTTGCTTTTTCTTATCCTGTGGTTTGGTGCTGCCTGCCTTTTCATGGTTAAGTTGGGGGTCACCTTCTGTGTGTAGGATCCCTTGCAGAATCTTTTGTAATGGTGGCTTTGTAGTCACATATTGTTTTAGTTTCTGCTTATCATGGAAGACTTTTATTGCTCCATCTATTTTGAATAATAGCTTTCCTGGGTAGAGTATCCTGGGGTTGAAGTTATTTTCATTCAGTGACGGGAAGATCTCACCCACGCTCTTCTTGCTTTTAATGTTTCTGTTGAGAAGTCTGCTGTGATTTTGATGGGTTTACCTTTGTATGTTACTTGTTTTTTCTCTCTTACAGCCTTCAATATTCTTTCCTTAGTTTCTGAACTTGTTGTTTTAATGATGATATGTCGTGGAGTAGTTCTATTTTGATCTCGTCTGTTTGGTGTCCTGGAGGCCTCTTGCATCTGTATGGGAATATCTTTCTCTAGATTTGGGAAATTTTCCGTTATTATTTTGTTGAATAGATTACGCATTCCCTTCGCTTGCACCTCTTCTCCTTCTTCGATGCCCATGATTCTCAAGTTTGGTCTTTTGATGGAGTCAGTGAGTTCTTGCATTTTCTTTTCACAGGTCTTGAGTTGTTTAATTAATAGTTCTTCAGTTTTTCCTTTAATTACCATTTCATCTTCAAGTTCTGAGATTCTGTCTTCTGTTTGTTCTATTCTGCTGGATTGGCCTTTCATTTTGTTTTGCAGTTCTGTTTCGTTCTTTTTTCTGAGGTTTTCCATATTCTGGCACTTTTCTTCTTTATTGTTGTCTATTTTTGTCCTGAGTTCATTTATCCATTTATTCATTGTGTTCTCTCTTTCACTTTGGTGTTTATACAGTGCTTCTATGGTTTCCTTTATTTCTTCTTTTGCTTTTTCAAATTCTCTATTTTTATTGTCTTGGAATTTCTTGAGTGTCTCCTGTACATTTTGGTTGACCCTATCCAGTATCATCTCTATAAAATTCTCATTGAGTACTTGTAGTATGTCTTCTTTTAAATTATTCTTGTGGGCTTCATTGGGTCCTTTGGCATAGTTTATCTTCATTTTGTTGGAGTCTGGATCTGAGTTTCTGTTCTCTTCATTCCCCTCTGGTTCCTGTACTAATTTTTTGCTGTGGGGAAACTGGTTTCCCTTTTTTCTGTCTTCCGTCATTGTCCTTGGTGTTGTTACTGTCCCTGTACTGTGTGCAATTAAGTATTTTCTAGCTTGTAATAATAACAATGGTAATATTTAGAATGGAAGGTGAGCTGAGATGGAAAGCAAGAAGTTAAAGAAAAGGGGAAAACAAATATACAGACAAGAGGGAGAAAGCAGAACAAGGTATCAGACAAGAGAGTTTCAAAGGTATAAAGAGGGAGTGTTAGTGTACTAATCGACAGTAAGCTGAAGAGGCATTAGAGAGACAGAGAGAGGATTGAAAATCAAAGATAAAAAAATAAAAAATAAGTAAATGAAAGTAATATCTATATATAAAAATGAATTAAAATAAAATGGAAAATAGAAAATTAAAAAAAAGAAACCAAAAAACGTCCAAGTTTATATGCAGTGCAGTTTCAGTCTTAATAATTTGGGTGTTCGTCTCAATCTCCAGTCCTGGAGTTGGTGCCTCAGATGTTGTTCTGTAGTTGTCTCATCAAAGGGGATGCACAAAGTAGAACAAAACTACACACACACTCACACACACACACACACACAAAAGCCCCACCAAGTGTCCCCAGTTCAAATGCAATACAGTTTCAGTAAGTTTTTCGGCTTGCAGGTGTAGTTCGGTTGTTCTCTCATCAAAGGTAGGGAGAAAAAGAAAAAAATGTATATGGAGACAGTTCCGAGAGTGGTATCTGCAACTGTGGCTTGCCTGCCTGCTGCTCTCAGCCTGTAGCTGGCGTTATTTATGCAGATCTCTGGGGTGAGCTAGCGCTCACCTGGTCCCACAGGCTTTGTTTGCTCAGAGTTCTCCTGTGCGGGAGCCTCTGCTACAGGCTTTCCCCTTTCCAAGTACTGGGAAAGGTGACACTGCCCCGCGTTGTCAGGCCTGCGTGTTTACTTACAGTTCACGTGGGAAGGGGGTCTTCCCTCCTCTCACAAGCTTCCCCGCTCCTGGTTGCTGGGCGCGCCCCGCTCCCGCCAGAGCCTCTCCGGCCCGCCGGGCTTGTTTATTTTCAGTCTGGGGAAGGAGTCCCTTCCCCCAATCTTCAGCGCTCAGGGCGCCCCTCCCTCTTTCCAGCGTCTTAACTGTTCCTATTGCTTATTACTAAGTTTCTGTTTTTTTTCCCGGGTGGAGGTCAGTCTGTCCAGGGGGCTATGCTGCTCTGGCCCAGGCTTGTCTGTGGGGGAACCGCGGTACCACGAAGCTCACCTGGTCCATGTCTTCCCAAGCCGTCTGGGCGCTGGTGACTGGCGGCCCGGGGGCCCTCCTTGTTTCTTTTTAACGTGAAGTGGAGATTCTCTGCGCCGGCTGGAGATGTGGAGGGGTCAAAGTTATGCCTTTTCTCGGTGATTATGCCTGCAAAGTGTGTCTCCAGCGTCTCTCCAAGATTTCACTATAGGAGGCTCGCTTTCTGCGTCCTACCTCTAGCCGCCATCTTGGAATCCCCCTTTCAGTTTTTTTTAAAGCTGAAAAAATTGTATAGTGAAAGAAAAGATTAAAATTCACATCTTTGTAATGCCATTTGTTTGTTTGTTTATTTCCAGGCTATTTAGCAGACATGACCCACAAGCAGAGGAAGCCTTAGCAAAGAGGAGAGGAAGGAACAGTCCAAATGGGAACCTCATTAGGATGCTTGTTCTCTTTTTTCTTGAAAGTGAGGTAAATTTTTTTAAACTTTTTGTATTTTGTTATATTACTAAGAAATAAGTTTGCCACTTAATTCATTGTTATCGGTTGGATTTTTGTCAGTCAGATGAAAACAAGCCTATTTCTGGTTAAATTTCCTCCATGAGTTGCTTAATTATAGAATCAGTACTCTTGACTTTTGTGGAAAGAAGTTGTGAATATGTATGTTGGTGTAGATCAACACTGGATGTAGAGTAGTAGTTGTTAAACTTTTACACTATTTGGAGAATTGCAGTATTACGTACTTCTAAACTTTTTTTTCTCCTTGTATGTATAGATTTTAAATTATGCTGTTAACCAGTTTGTGAGGGTTGCACGTGTCGTTCCATGGTAGAGTGCTTGCCCAGCACTCCCTGGGTTTGATTGTTGGTGTGTCCCCTGCTCCCCCACCTCAAAAAAAAAATCAGAGTTGTCAAGATGTTAAAACCATTAGTTCTGTCTCATTGGAAAGTTATGTTATTTAATAAGGAAAATATTAATTGGGCTGCTTTAATTGGTAGTTGTATTTAGAATTCTAATAGCAGTATTTCCTTGTGCTTTAGCAAGTTATCACTGAAAACATTTTTATAATTAGCACTCATAATGTATTTACCAGGATCTGTTTTTACAAGTTTAGTTTACTCATTAAATGCTCTTTGTTATTTTAATATGTATTTCCTACTACTCACCTGTAAAATAAACCTAAAGGGCCATTAATAAGTGAGAATAGAATTGCAAAAGAAGTAAAAGAAATTTAAAAATCTAATGCTTACTTACATTTCGGTCAAAGTAGTTTAGTTTGTGTTAGAATGTCAGAGAACAGAAATTTAAAAGAGTCTGAATATTCAGGTTTGTGAGTGATAGTTAAAAAAAACAACAAGAATGTGGAAAAGAGAGAAACTGGGTGCAGTGACTCAAGCCTATAATCTTAGCTTCTTGTGAGGAAGAGATCAGGAAGATCGAGGTTTCAAAGGCAGCCCAAGCAAAATGTCTACAAGACCCTCATCTCAATCAATGACTGGTTGTGATGGTGCTTGTCATCCCAGCTATGGAGGAATTTTGTGGTATAGCCCAGGCAAAAAGAGAAGACCCCATCTCAAAAATAAGCAACACAAAAAGAACTGGCAGAGTGGCTCAAGTGGTAGAATGTCTTCCTAGTAAGCACAAGGCCCTGAGTGCAAACCCTTGTACAACCAAAAAAAAATAAAAAAGGAAAAGAGCAGGCAACCTATAGGAAAATTAATAACAGAGATGCATGAACTAAGTCAGTGGAATGACCTTGGAGTTACTGTAAAGGAGGGCAGAAAAGGAAAGAATTGGCTGTGATTTTTTGATTTGAGACTGAATAGATAAAGACTAAAAATCAGAAACAAAACTAGCTGTAGAGTTACATTTGAGTAAAGAATGTATTATGTATTTAAGCCAAGTGTGATAGCACACACCTGTAATTTCAGCTTTTGGGAGGCTGGAAGATTGCAAGTTCCAGGACAGCTTGTGATATATAACAAGTTTGAGATCAGCCTGAGTGAGCTATATAGTGAGGTCTTGCCTCAGAAAGAGGCAAGAAAGAGTTTTAAATGTGCATACACATCACCTGGAATCTTGTTAAAATGGCAGCTCTGATACAGTGACTCTGGAGTGGGACCTGATATTCTGCATTTCTAAGAAACTCCTGACTAATGCTAATGTTCTTGGTCCAAAGGCCATGCTTTGCATATTAAGGATGTAAAATACTGTTTTCTTAATAAAGCAGTTTGGATATTTCATAGACTAGAATCCAAAATGTTAGTTTTTAAGATTAAAGCATCAAATGCCTAGCAGATAATCACACTTAAGATAGCCTGCTTAGTACACATGTATGTAAATGGAAAAATGAGACCTGTGAATACTATTCCAGGAATGGGGGGAGAAGGGATAAAGGAAAGAATGATAGAGGGGGTGAATTCAACTATGATATATTTGGTATATTGTAAGAACTTTTGTAAATGGCACAGTGTACCCCTAGCGCAAAAAAAAAAAACAAACAAAAAAAGCCTGCTCAAAATGATCCCATACACCCCCCTTATGCAGCCATTATGTCCTACATAAAACAATGGCTGTAATGCATATAATTAATAGTTTCAAAATATGGTATTGTTGATATATACAAATATTATTAAGCTGCTGAAAAGTCTGGGAACCTAATGGCTTTGGCTAATTGAACTTAATTTGTGGGGGAGGGGGCAATACTGGCGTTTGAACTCAGGGCTTCATACTTGCTAAGGCAGGCTTTCTCCTGCTTGAGCCACTCCACCAGCCCTAATTGTATTTAATTTTAACTAAAGGAAAATGTTCAGGATTTCTGAAAACTCAAGGTCTTTTTGATTTATTAAAAGGTGTAAATGTTTCATTTCAGGCAGTTTCGTCTTTTTTAAAAGCTGTAATTTATTCTGTATGTTATTGCTGTGTTTTCAGTTGTATCCATATATTTGCTGTTCTTTGCTAAGGTGTTAAAAACAGTATTAAATATTTTTTCCTGTTTTCCTTCTTGTCAGGTGCAGAAGGCACTACAAATCATATTTAAGGGTTTCTGGTTGATTGGTGGTCATTATATTGGCCTTATGGTCTCCTGTGTTTCACAAGAACGTTCTTTGTGAAAATCTTTCTTATTCTGCAGTGTACACTTGCAGCTAAATGCTGATTGAAGCTATATTCTTTGAAGGGATTCCAAATGTGTCATAAACTCAGTTCCTCTTTTTTTTCTGTAAAACTTGTTAATTACTAAAATTAACAAGGTTAATTAACATAGCTCATAAAATGTTTAATTGATAGAAACTTTAGATATCACATAGTAGAATGAGTATCTTATAACTGAGTTACAAATCACTTAACTGGGATTAAATGAACTGATTTTCATTATTTGCTTTACTATAATGTGAAATGGTAATATTTTGATACTAGAGTTGTAATTGCTGAAAGAGTTTTGTAGTGCAGGTGAATTATGGAGATTAAGAGCCCTGACTGAACTCGTTTTGACATTTTTAAACTATCACAACCTTTGTCACTAATTTTAGATGACTAAGTACCTTTTATTTTAAATACGTGCAGTTGGTAGGATAAGTGATATTTGAGTACAGTGAATCCAGATTTTTCACTAAGTAGTATAACAATAGTTTATTGTTCAAACTGATGCTTTTCATAAGGACAAGGAAGCTATTAAGAGTTATTTAAGAACATTTTTATGCAATCTAGAATTATGAGCATCCATCTTCTTATAGAATGATGAGGCTAGTTGGGATGGTCATTTAAGAGAGAAAAGTGATAGCCATATTATTGGTATATCTGAGAAATTTCCCCAGAGTATTCATTCCCAGGGCATCTTTTTTTTGGCTTGTTTTTTTTAAATTCTTAAATTCACTAATGGCTGACTTTATTTCAGCAGAGGCAAAGACCCAACATAGAAGTGTTTAGAAATTATAGTCTTAGTAAGTGGGATGCTTATTTGAATTATAAATGATTTGTCTAAAAGGAATCAAGGTAAAGTTCCATTATATTCTTTACTTCTTTAGTGTACTTAACTGACATAAGTTAGTGGGTAGAAAAGAACTTGAAATAAAATATTAGACCTAACTTTGAAATCCAATTAAAAATTTCAAAGGAATGGATTCTAGCTAGTACCTTTTTTTTTTTTTTTGAGTCTAGATTCCTTAACTGGCAACCAAGTATATCGAAAAGTTGAAAGGTGAACATAAAAACTCAACGTATTAATAAAAAGATTTAATTCATACCATTAGATATAAGAAGAGACTATTATGAAAGTGGAAGAGTTCATAGAAATCTTTAAAATAGGCTTCCAGAATTTAAGGAGGGAAAATAATAAATGGTCTTAATGAGTACAACCAGGAATTTGCTGTAGATTGAATGAACTTCTCCAGAAAGCCATGTAAAAGAAAGTAAAGTATGAGAAAGATGAAGACAAAGTATAAATTGAAAGTGTCATTGTATTATCCAACCAGGAGCTCTGTAAAGAGAACAGAGAGAAAGAAGTAGAGGAATTAATTAAAGGGTATACAATTCTCAAACTTTACTGCCTATGAACTCTATATGCAAAATATTGCTTGAAGATGTTTTTTAACAAAACAAAAATGGATACAGTGAAAATTTAAAATGTAGGAATATAATGTTCAGATTAAATGAAGAGAAGTAAAGAAATGTGTAATGACCTTTATAATTATAAAGTATGAATCAGAAAATAAAACTGAATGAAAGACAGATAGAACACTCAAATATCCAAGTGGAGCACAGAGAATAAAATGCTAGGAATATTTCCAGCATCAGTAATCTCAGTACATGTAAAGGATTAATATGCTCTGTTAAAAGACAAATTATCATTTGAAGTTGTAAAAAAAGAATTAAAAACACATCTATATGCTGTTTAAAAACTCATCTTTGTCAAAATAACACAAGAAATTTACAAATAAAGGGCTAGATTGAAGCAGGATGTTACAGATGCTTACAGAAAGAATGCAGACTGAGGGGGCTGACACAGGTGGCTCACACCTGTAATCCTAGATACTTAAGAGGCAGAGATCAGGAAGTTCACCAGCCAGGTAGAAAGTTCAAAAGATTCTATCTTGAAAAAACACTATCACAGAAAAGGGCTGGTGGAGTGGCTCAAAATGTAGACCCTGAGTTCAAACCCCAGTACTGCAAAAAAACAAAGAAAGAAAGAAAGAATTCAGGGGAAACAATATCATAATTCAAGGCTGAATGCTTTAAGAGGGACAAAAAGGGGATATTGTTCATTTATAAAAGGTATAACCCAGCAAATACATTGTAATTAAATATACAGACCTATTCCACAGAGATATACCTTTACATGGTCAAGCATAAAAGCATATTTATTCAGCGCATTTTTCTATCCTGTTAAAATATGCATAACAAAATGGAACTTCTTGATGTTGTATAATCAGCAGTGCCATCCATCTCCAGAACTTTTTCAGTCTTCCCAAACTGACACCATACCCATTATACAATACCTCTTTATTTCAGAATAGGTTTTGATACCAACAATTTTGAACCAATTTGTTGTCTTTTTTCTGTTTCCATTTTCATCTTTGACACCAAGTTGGTTTGACACCAAGTAGCTGTCACTGTTGGAATGATGTTACTGATGGTCCAAGAATAGTTTCTTGGTATATATAACTTCGGAAAGTTTGAAAATACTGTGTGGCAAACCATTGCCCATGTTCTTTCCAAGCAAAGATGCTAATTGGTATTACCTCCTCTGCCTCTGACATAATTTATGAGAAGATTGTATGCGTTTGATTTTCCTGAGGCATTTCTGGAGCCAGGGTGTAAGGTTTAAAGTGCCATAGAAATGAAATACTAAATTAAGATCAATGAAGGTCATCAAAAGTTAAGACTATGATAGAGTTGTAAGAAAGAAAACCAGCTCAAGTATCAATTGTTCCAAGATAACAGTAGACAACCAGTAGATATGACAAGGTACTTCATACTTTTTTGACTATCATTACAAGGACATCTAACAAATGACAGTTAAGGACTGAAGGTACAACTTAATGGTGGAACATTTGTCTGGCATGCATGAGGTCGTGGGTTTCATTCCCCAGCACAGCAAAGACAGTGCTTTCTACTCTGTTTCATTTTTTTAACCCTTTGGTCCCAAAGCATTAAATCAATTTAAGAACCCTAAAATGGGCTTCCATCTGAAGAGTTTTTGAAAAATATTAATCACAGATGGTTTAGCCAGGATGTCATGAACTTTAAAGGTAGAACATCTTTTATACAAGAATGGAAAATAATTATGAGTATCAGAAACTGAAACAATGTCAATACATTTTCACTTACCTCCTGAAAGAGCTTTTTCAATAGTATAGTAGTTTTCCAAGGTGTAAAGACTAACAAGTAAGGAGATTGGTTGATGTGACTTTGACGAGGAGCCTAAGTGTGTTTGTTTACTGGTGGAATATGGGTCTAAAGAAAATGTTCAAGAGAGTAATGGCCAAAAGAAAAATAGGGTGACATGAGGAATGAATTGAGTAATAAAATGAAATGAGAATAGAAAAGAGGAGAGGAGTAATGTATGTCTTTTACCTTGAACAAGACATTGACCATTAGAGTAAGGCCAATAGCAAAATTTCCGATGGAATTCTAGAGAAATGATCTATTTTCTTCAAAAAGAAAGAAGAAAGTTAAAAAAGAGACAGTCAGAAATAGTGAAAAGTTAAAAAGTAACCTAGATTCACCTTATAATTTAGGAATTCTACTAAATAGCTATCTTACTCTGTTTCCTCATCAATAAATTATGTTATTGGACTAGGAAATTTTTAGTCTTACTACTGTAAATGTTAAAAAACTTAATTGATCCTACGTATTGTGTCCACATTATTATCCTCTAAATGATCTCAGAAACCATTTAGACCAAGTCATTTTAATTGTGAAGAAAACGGTTATTAACTTATAGTGTTGCTAGCAGTTTATTAAATGTTCTTTAGTCACGCTCAATTTGTTAATTTTAGTTACACGAAATGCAGCCTACTTGGTGGACAGTTTGTGGGAGAGCTCTCAAGAATTGTTGAAAGGACTGGGAATGTATGACAGAGTTGCTGTTAGAAGAACCTGTTCAAGGAGAGGAAGGTATAGTATTTTAACAAGTTGGTTTAAATATTGTATGTTTCCATTAATAATCATGCCATCCTCTCATCCATGGTCATCTTTTGTCAAGAGAACAGTTCAATTCTTGAACCAGTAAAGATGTCTTGATGGTTATAGCATGCTTCCATGTTGCACAAATGTTTTTAAAAATCTGTGTCATAAGCTATTCATAATTGTTTACTTATGCTGATTTGAGACCAGTAGTGATAAACTTAATGTAAAAAAGTGCATCCTGAATTTTTTCCTCTTCTCCTCCCTTCTTCTCATCTCTCTTCTCTTCCTCCCTTCTCTTCCTCCTGTCCCCCAAGATTGGCTGGGAGTATGTTGTGGCATTTACAAAAGTTCTTACAATATATCAAATAATATCATACTTGAATTCACCCCCTCCACCATTCCCTTTACCCTTCCCCCCCCTACAGTTACTTCTCTACTACTTACTTGACTTTGGCCTGTCTTCTCCCAAAGGAATGTAAACTGCATCTTGACAAATGCTTTTGTCATTGTGACCTTAAAGCATTTATTTTCAGTGATGTAAAGAAAAGTACCCAGAGTTCAAATTGATATGCCCTAAAATCCAGTTACTGAGGAAATGGAGATGATGTGTGAGAAGTCCCAAGAATTAGAAAGCATGTGACTACCTGATAATTCACAGTGTGAATATCTTCCCGTTTATTAATCAGTGTAGTTGTTGGTTCTTGTCTGTGGCTTAAGACTTCTTTCTTCCCATTATTTGTGGTTTTGTTGTTATATCCTAAAGGAATTCCAATTAAATCTCATCCACTTTGAGTTTACCCTATTTCCCCATTCAGAGGAAACTTTCTGAAAGGATGATTTCAGATGATAAAGTAAATTAACAAGATAGATTGCATTGCACAGTGTATAAAGTTGAGTCATACGCCACACTAGTGTAGATTGTACTATAGACTGAAAGAATATTTCTGTTCTTGAGATAAATTATACCCTTTCCTCTCTGACTTTACATAAAGGTCAGATATTTTTCTTCTTAAATAAAAGAAAATGCATTAGCTCACAGATGACTTCATAGTTATTCTATTCCAAGTCAAATGAGAAAACTTATAAAATTCTAGAATTGGAATAATTAAAAACTTAATTACTGTTGAGTGGAAAGCTCTTTTGTATTAGCCATTAGCCATTTCCATCTAGCACAGATGCAAAAGTTTAAGTTACTTCATGTGTTTGTCCTATGACAAAGTCTGAAGTTCACTTTTTTTCTAAGACAATGAAAATGTTAAGGTAGCCTTGGGAATGTATACTTCGAATCCCAGTGGGGATAGGAATCCTGATTCCAGGCAGTCTAGGCAAAAAGTTAGTGAGACCCTATCTGAAAACAAAACTGAAAGAGCTAGGGGCGGGGCTGCAGAGTGGCTAAGTAATAGAGCACCTACCTACCAAACACAAGGCCCCAAATTCATCCCTTAGTACTACAAAAAGAAAAAACGGGTGGGGGAGTTTAGGTCTGGGATGTGGTCAAGTGTAGAAAACTTGCATAGCAAGCAGGGCCCCAAGTTTCATCCCCCAGTATTCCCAAAAAAGAAAAAGAAAAGAAAATGTTAAAACCAAAAATTAGTGATTAAAGATGTACATACATAATTCTGTACAGGGTAATTTTGGCACATACTAAAGAACATGATGTTACTATTCTTTGTTTGTGTTTTTATTACTTTTATCCCAGTTTATTTTAAAATAAACTTTGAAACTTCATGTTTTCATTGTATTTTTCCTTTTTAAGTTTTACCAGGTATCTGTAATCTGTATATCTATTCATCTTCAACATGAATAAATTACTTGTTGAAAAAAGAAGAAGGAAAAAAACCCAAAAATATCCTCAAAATCTATGCTTAAAAACACTAGGAACTGAATGTTAGTGGTGACTGTAATCCTAGCACTAGGAGGCTAATGCAGGAGGATTATAAAATTTGTAGCGAATCTGGGCTGCACAAAAATAAAGTATAATAACAAATTCAAAGGAAAATACCTAACTTATGCGAAGAAAACCATGTTTTGTTAAATGACATAAAATAAATCTCAAAATGAAAAGTGCTATGTTATGTTCCTAGCTGAAAGATTATAAAAAATGTCAGTTTCTCTCATGTAAATATAATTCTCTTATAATGCCATTCATAATTCCAGTTGGCGTTAAGAGTGTTCTGGGAGGTGAGGTTGAATAGGAATTAAGCAAAAAGATTTTAAAGTTTATGTAGAACTATTAAGGTGTATGCTTAAAAGGCAGTGTAGGCGTGATAAGCGAGGCACACAAGGAGGTATGAGGAAGTCAAGAAACCCAAAAAAAACACGGTAGCATTGATGTCCTCAATGAAAAGGAAACTAATGCAGAAACTTTAAAGCGACAGAGGCCAATAGGAGAAGGGAGTAGGAACTAGAGAAAAAGTTAGTTCGAGAAGAATTAATTAGAATGAACACATATGTACAGGAAAGCAATGTGAGTCAAACTCCCTATGTATTCTATCCTTACCTCAACTAGCAAAAACGCTTGGTCCTTCCTATTATTGCTTATACTCTCTCTTCAACAAAATTAGAGATAAGGGCAAAATAGTTTCTGCCTGGCAGCGAGGGGGTAGGGGTAGAAAGGGGCCAAGGAGAAGGGGGGAGAAATGACCCAAACATGTATGCACATATGAAATAAAATAAAAATAAAAAGCGCATGTAGGGCTGACAGAGTGGCTCAAGTGTAGGGCGCCTGCCTAGCAAGCATCAGGCCCTGAACTCAAGCCCCAGTACTGCCAAATAAATAGGCAGTATAACTTAGTGCATAAGAGCACTGGCTATAGAGTTAGCCTACCTTGGTTTATATATTGTCTCTACAACTAGCTGAGCACTTTGCAAAACTAATCTCTCTGTGGCTCATTTTCCCCATCAGTAAAATGAAGATATAAATTTTTTTGCTATTAGCATTATAGAAATTATGAAAAATTCCAAGAAAGACTAGATGAGGAAACTTGTTTATTCAAATTAGTTGAATTAAGTTGCATAGTGTGTTAAATTTAAACAAATTAGAATTATTAATCTTCTGTACTCAAAACAGTAAAAACTGTCATAAAAAATATGAAAGTATATTATTAGCAAAACTAAATAAAGAAATTTATTAGAATAAAAATCTAAGTATAATAAGCCTAAACGTGTGTAATATGTATGCTTTTTTTTTTTTTTTTTTTTTGACAGTATTTTGGTTTGAACTCAGGGCCTCACACTTGCTAGGTGTTCCACCGCTTGAGCTGCTCAGTCATCTCCTAAAACATGTTTTTAAAATGACATTTAAATTCATTAGGGAACTCTGGTTTATTTACAGTAGTAGAGGCACAGTCAGCTGTTTATTTAGTTCTGTGTATTTAGTTTCTTATTTGCCACTATGAGCCTAAGTAAATCCCAAACAGGTTAAAGATATAAAAGTAAACAAGCAAAAGAGATGAGTAAAAGAAAGGAAGAAGGGCAGGAGAAAAAGAAAAGAAGTTAGAGAAAACAAAGAATACATTTCTCTGGAACAGAGAGGTTTGTTTGCTTTTTTTCTGTACTATGGCTTGAACACAGGGTCTCATGTTTGCTAGTCAGGCACTCTACACTTGGGGCTACTCCACCAGCTCTAATTTGTGTTGGATATTTTTGGAGGTGGGGTTTCATAAATATTTGCCCAGAGCTGGTTTATGAACTTCAGTCCTCCTGATCCCTGCCTCCTGAGTAGCTAGGATTAGAATGTGAGCCACCACCTCTCAGAAGGACAGAGAGATTTGAAGGCAGTGTAGAAACTTACAAGCTGGGGACTGGTGGAGTGCTCAAATGGTATAGCACCTATATAGTAAGCGTGGGGCCCTGAATTCAAACCCCAGTACTGGGGGAAAAAAAAAGAAAAGAAGAAACGTAAAATAAAAGTTAATAATCTTCTTTTGGGATTTTTTTTAGTTGTTATTTGTTTTTGAGATAGTGTCTTTTATGTAAGTCAGGCTAGCCTCAAAACTCTAGATCTTCCTGCTTCTGCCTTCTGAGTGTTGGGATTACAGTTATATGCCACGTGCCCTGCTAACAAAGTCTTTTTTTGCAAAAAAAAACCCTTGAAGAGTTCAGCAATAAATGACAAACTGGAGAAAAGTTTCGCATCATTCCAAAGACAAAGGTTACTCCTCATACTACTAATGACATAGAAGAGCCTCCATAAATGGATTCGAAAGGTAGAAAAGGCCCTGTTGTAATGCATAGCCATAAATCTAACTTGGAGGTAGAGATTAGAAGTATCTCAGTTGGAGGTCAGCTCAGGCAAAAAGTTAGTGAGAGCCCATTTTAGCAAACAAGCTGATCATGGTACTGCTCTTTATAAATCCTGGCTACCTGGAGGCCATAAGTAGGAGGATCACAGTTCTGAAGCTGGACCCTGACAAAAAGCATGAGACCCTATTTGAAACAGAAGAAAAGAAAAAAAAGGACTGGAGCATCGCTGAAGTGGTAGGCCCTGAGTTAAACACCAACACCCAAAAAATATATATATACCATAGTCCATCCCAGTTACTCAGACAGGAAACTGAGGTGAAAGGATCACATAAGGTCCCTTTAGTTCAAGACCAGTCTTGGCAACATAGTAAAATCTCACTCAAAAAGAAAGGCAGGAGCGGAGGAAGTCTTAGAAAAAATACATACACTCACTAATTATTTAGTTGGAACAAAATAACACCCTTGGACGCGACATTAAACTAGAGAACTTATCACGTCTAGTGCTGATATGAGGATCCGAATATTATTGCAGCTGGAGTTGTCAATTTGATTAACCTTATGTTTGTTACTGTTCTTTGACCCATCATTCCCACACTGGGAAATTTATTCTGTAAACTTATTAGTTACATAAATAGATATGTATTAATGATGCCTTATTGTAGGCATTTCTCATAGTTGTTAAAACCTGGAAATAATTTTTGACTATGAAGCAGAGAGATTGAACTAAACTGTGGTATAAATTTTTGGATAATTTAATAATTAAGGTACTCTTGTGTCTTTTGACTTGAAAGAACATTAAAATAATTGTTAATTTTTTGTTAAAAAGCAAAAATAAGCCAGGCACCAGTGCTCATGCATATAATCCTAGTTACTCAGGAGGCAGAGATCAGGAGGATCATATCTTCAGAGCCAGCCCAGGCAAAAAAGTTAAAGAGACCCTATCTTGAAAAAAACCCATCACAAAAAAAAGGGCTGATGGAGTGGCTCAAGGTATAGGCCCTGAGTTCAAACCCCAATACTGCAAAAAAAAAAAAAGATAAAAAGCAAAAATAATGGAAACCCTATTATATGTGCTTTGAAATGATGTAGAAGGAAATTTTGACATTACTCAGAAGTAGGGCATTAGAAGAGATCAGACATTGAAAGAGTCAGAATGCTTACTTAGCATTACTTCTTTCTTGTTCTTTTAAGACAGTAAGTATATATTACTTAAGGAAAAGGAAAAAATGCAAAATACAGACCCTAACTATAGTCTTCATAATAACCAGTAATAAAGTGTTTGTCATTTTTAAAGAAATCATTATTTTGTGGTTTTTAGTGTCTGGTTATTGTGAAACTTTTACTCATACTCGTGCATTTTGTTTCACTTTAGCAATGTCTGACCGTCAAGAGAGCTCTTTAATAGAGCTAATGGTTTGTACAATTCGTCAAGCTGCTGAGGCACATCCTCCAGTGGGAAGGGTACCGAAGAGAGTTAAGTTAAAATTAGTGAGAATGCACAACAAAGCGTTTAGTGTACTTAACTGTCTAAAATATTTGGAAAATGTACTGGTATTTAAATCCTTTAAAACATGGTCTTTTTATAATGATACCTGCTCTGATGGCTTTACCTTTAATCCTGACTACTAGACTCAAATTCCAAAATTAGATTCTTTCCTTCATGCTCCCATAGCATCTGAACCTGCTTCTATATAGTAATTATGCAATACTTTAAGCATTTTCATATTCATATCTATTAATGGTGCATAAAGACCCAGTGGGCAAACTGCTTGATTTGCAAGCTCTTCTATCATTAGCTTTGTTATCTTTAGATAGATGAATATTTACACATGTACTCCTAGTTTCCTTATCTGTGTGTATTATAGGACCAACAATAAATTATTATTTTGATGAATTGAGAGAATCACAGATGGAGAGACAAAATTCTTCCTACAAAAATAACAAGTGTAAAGCCAGGCATGGTGGGGCATGTCTGTTACACTAGTACTCAGGGAGGCTAAAGCAAGAGGATCTTGAGTTTGAGTCCAGACTGGTCTAATGAAACCCTGTATCAAAAGACAACAACAACCACCACCACCACAAAAAGTTTAAAATTAAAAAATTTTATCAAATACATCTGAACTTCAAAGATAAAAATAAGTTCAGAAGTATTTTTTCTTTAAAAACTTCATAAATTTGGAGCTTATTGATATAGCTCAGAAGTGAGTACCTGCCTAGATCCTCAGCACTGAAAAAAGAAAACAAAAAAGATAAAGTTGATGGGAATGGTGGTGCAAATCTGTAATCCTCACCTACTCAGGATGTGAAATAGGAAGATTGCAGTCAGAACCATCCCAGGCAAGAATTGGCAAAACCCTGTCTGAAAACCAAGCCAGGCATAGTGATACATGCCTGTTGTTCCACACATGGGAAGATACACATGTAGGAGAATAGTGATCTGAGGCTAACCCAGGCAAGACTGTGACACTATCTAAAAAGCAGAAGGACTGGAAGTGAGCTCAAGTGACTAATTTCCTAGCAAACTTGAGACTCTGAGTTCAATCCTAGCACTGCCCCAAAAAAAGAAAAAAATTTTTTTACATTGATAAATTTATAGGTAAAAGTAGTAGGTGTGCAGCCTTTCATTTCTAGGTTTACAATAAACACCTCTTATTTAAGTTTAAAAATCTGTAGTTACTATATCATGTAAAAAATGTGGGTTTTTTTGAGTTTTTTTGGTGGGACTGGAGTTGAACTCAGGGCCTCACACTTGCTAGCAGGTGCTCTACTGCTTCAGCCACACTTTCAGTCCATTTGCTCTGGCAATTTTGGAGATTAGGGTCTCAGGAAACTATTGCTCAGGCTGGCTTCAAACCTCTGTCCTCCTGATTTCTGCCTCCTGAGTAGCTGGGATTGTAGGTGTGAACCACTGGTGCCCAGTTAAATGTTGACTTTATAAGAAAAATTACAGTCATGCAAAGTAACAGTAACTCTTCTCAGAGGGAAAAGAAAACAATAGAAATGTCTTCTCAGTTAGACCTAGGTTTTGTATTTAGCAGAAAAAAATCTTTTTTTCTCTTTGATCTATTTTAACTCAAATTCTTTTTTTTAATAATTTTTTATTAGGAATATTCATTATACGGGGGGATTCATAGTGACAACTCCAATTAGACTTACATTGTACATTAGTTACATTGGCCCCTTTTTTTCTCCCCTTCAGCCCCCTCCCTGTCCTACTTAAAGCAATTGCAAAAGGTTTCTTATTTAGTTCTGAAACTAAGAAAAAATCTTAAGGTTCTTTTAATAAAACATCCAAATAACTAAGGGAAAATATGTTCAAAGAATTGCATGGGAAAAAAAAAAAAAGAAAATCTCAGTAATCAAAAGTCAATGAGGGAATGGGATTCTACTCTGTAATCCCAGCCACTTGGGATGTAAAGATTGGAGAGATTGTGAATCCAGACTAGCTCATGCTTAAAAGTTAGCAAAAAACCCCATCTGAACCAACAAGCTGGGCACAGTGTACACATCCATAACCCCAGCTTATGTCAGAGCCATAAGTAGGAAGATCTCAGTCTAGGCCAGCCCTGGGCAAAAAATGTGAAACCCTATCCATCCCCAGTACCTCAAAAAAAAAAAAAAAAAAAAAAAAGGAAAAAAATTCCGGAGTGAAAAGTATAATGCAGAAATTAAAGTTCACTGCAGGATTTCAGTAGCAATTTGTATTATCAGTCTTTTGTTACTGTGACAAATACCTGAGACAAATGACTTACAAGAATGAAAGATGTATTTTTTGCTCATAGTTTCAGAAATTTCAGTCCATGCTGCTTTTGACTTGTGGCAAGGCAGAGCATATGGAGGGAGGGTTGTGGTAGAGGTCTGTTTAGCTTAAGATGGCTAGAGAGCAGAAGAGAAGAGGGGTAAGGTCTCAGTATACTCTTCAATGGCATATCCCAAATGACCCACCTCCACATTTTCCAGGAGCACTATTAATAGTAACTAAGCCATCAACATGTGAGCTTTGGAGTTCAGTTAAGATTCAAAACAAAACCACAGTAGGATGACAGAAGAAATAGTGAACATGAAGATTACTAGGAATTATGCATTCTGAGAAACAAAGAGGAAAAACATTTAAAGATTGAACAACGCCTCAGAAATGTGTGGAACAAACATCAAGTGAATCTAAATATGTGTTACAGAAGTTCCAGGAAAAAACACGTGGTGCAGCATAGTCACAGTGTGAAAGGCAAAAACTAAGTCTTCAAAGCGGCACAGCAAGAGGGCAACTACCTTTGACTCCTTATCAGCAACCGGAGAGTCCAAAGATTAAGCAAAATTGACAACCAAGAATTTTAAACCCATTAAAATTATCTTTCAGAAAATGAAGATGTAAGAAACTAATTCTAGAGAAACAGAAAACAAAGATTGAGAGACAAGTTTAGAAGGCCAGGTCTTTAAAGCTGTAAGATCACCAGATGGTAACTCTAATCCATAGATAAATATAAAAGGCTATATGTATATGTATTTTTTTCTTTTTCTCTTAATTAATAGGACATGATATTATTTAAATGAATAATTATAGTGCTGTTGTGTTGAGCCGATAAACATAGAAATAATATATGTAACAAGAATAGCACAAAAAAGGGAAAATGACGTAAAGTCGTTGAGCAAAGCCATATTTTGCAATAAACATGTCAGTATCAACCTGTAGTCAATTGAATGTAAAGCTTGTATGTTATAATCCCAGAGCAATCACTCAAGCTAAAAATAAAAATATGAAGAAGAATCATAATAAAACATTTGCTCCAAAATAAAGACTGAAGGAGAGACAAAAGACATGAGACAAAAGATAAATATAAAATGGCTAATTATATCAAATTTTCAAGAAAATTTTCAATCATATCAAAAATTATATTGAATGAGACTTAGGGAATGATTCCAATCAAAATGTAGAGACTTCAAACTGGATTACATTTAAAGATTTAAATAATATCGAATGTAAAAAGGATGGCAAAAAGACACTACGCAATGAGAAACCAAAGCATGCTGGCAGGTTATTAATAGACAATAACTTTAAGACAGACAGTGTACTAAAAACAGTAAAAAAGA